ATAGAAATTAGGCACTCAAGACATGAAGGTGTAACTTAGTTTAGAGATAAAGATGGAAGACTTAGAGATCAGGCTAGGGGCTAGAGGCACATTAGTTAAAAGATAACTAAGATTAAAATAGGGTAATAGATCATAGTTGATGGGCCAGGGAGCAGAACAATATGGAAAACTTGATTAATGGAAGCTGTGAGAGAACGCATCCTGATGCAATAGGAAGACAGCCCTAAAAACTGGTCAAAACCAACCCTGCGGTCCAGCCTGAGTCCAAGAGGTTACAGAGACTGCGCAAGAAACTGAGGTAAAAAGTTCAACGGTGAGGAAGAGGAGCTACTCCATCTCTGCGACCCCAGCCCATGACCACTGGGACACACTGCACAGATGCAACTAGGAGGAGATCAGGGCAGAACATATGAAAAAGACTTTCAAGCTCATTATAATACAAAGCGGGGATAGGTTATGCATATGTATAGGTGTATTATGAATATGTGATGCTTTGTAGCATAAAGCCAAGACAAGGTGCCACAAGAGGCACGCACGTTTGTGGTGGAACGATCCACCGTGTGCCTCAGCGCTGAATAAACATACCTACTTTATAACCTTAGAGGTTGTGGAGTCGTGTTTCTGCAAGTCACTTCCATTCTGTCCTATGTCCTACCCCTCTTCACTTTTAATAATAAAAATTGGTTTGTGTGTATGGCATTTGACCTCGTTTGTGTCTTAATCTCGCTCCTGGGATCATATCGAAACCTCCCCCAGCATTGGATTGGGCAGTTTCTTTTATTTTCTCCTTGTATGCCTTGACTCTCTCCACTACAGCTCTCTTCTCTATGAGCCAGACCGACCTCCTCTCTTTTTAGACAGAGTGGCTGTACAAAAAAGCCTGTACACCTGGACAAAAACCCCTGTACATTTGGGCTGCTTCATTCCTGCCATTTTCTGTTTATGCAGAAGCAACAGCTTCAGCACCTGTCCTTCACTGGGTAGCAGAAATTATTATACCACTAAAATTTCTCTTAAAATAATGTAGATGGGTCATGGCTGTTTCTGTGGACTAAGCCTACATGTTGCTTCTGCTTCTGGCTACAGATGTCCTAGCTGGAGATCAGAACTTTTGAGAAGAGCAGAAGACTTCACCATTCCCTGAACAGCTGTCAAGTGTCAGTGGAGTTTGCAGAAGCTGGCAACAGGACAGTGCTGCCTGCAAAACTCTTGGGATGCTAGCTGGGCTAATGCCAACCTCATGACTGTGATGTGCCATGATCTATGGAGCTGCTGCAAAAATACTGGCAAGAGGTGACATGTGGAAAGGTCTCCAGACTCTCAAAGTTTGGAGGCATGGCAAAGGCGATAAGAAGCTGCACTGGTGTTGGGACCAGGTTAGGAATAATAAAAGGTGCCTTGTACACCCACATGCACTGCAGAGTGGTATGTGTTGGGGGAAGTTGGTGGTGTTGCAGGACATTTTATATGTTGCAGCCATTTACACAGCAGGTAATTTGCAATGCTTTCAGGGTCATGGGACTAGAGGAGATGATCCGGGTCATCATGTGCTATTCCCTGCTGTTGCAGGCCCACTGTCATTCAATCCCTATTGTAAACTGGTCTGTCTTTATCTTAAAACTAATAAAGTCTCATCCCCTGACTACAGTTTCTAGGAGGCTGTTCCAGAATCTCCTTCGTCTGATGGTTAGAAACCCTCTCCTGATTACCAGCCTAAATGTATTCATAGTTAGCTTAGTTAGCTTGCATCCATTTGTTCCTGTGCCAACATTTTCTTTTAGCTAATATAATTATTGTCTCGTGTTGCTGTTTTTTTGCTCTGATTTATTTTATTTATAGAGTGCCGTCACACCTACTCTCATTTCTCAGTTTGCTAGGCTAAACAAGGCATGCTTTCCTAGCTCCCTCCTAGCTGGTGGCCTCCTCTTTCCTCTCCCCATGCCAGGAGCCTTGCTCTGCGCTTGCTCACATTGAATTCTTCCCTGAAGCTGGGTGACTGGTAATAGATGCAGTTTGTTCAGAGGTCTCACCAAGGTCTTACAGAGTGACTCTAATACTTCCCTCTCTCTAGAGGAAATACACTTTTTTTTTTTTTTGGTGAGGATGGAAAAGTTGAGTACTTTCTTAAAACTTTTGGATACAGCTTGCTGATAAGATGTTTAAAAAACAGCAAGAGCCAGTCTGTGTTATAATTTTCCTGTAGTCACAGGGGAATATGGCAAACAAGGAACATATACAGTTTACTCCTGGCCTTTTGGGGACCAGGACAGAGACTACTCAGGTCTAGGTTTACACTGTGACTGCAGCACATGTAATGTGGAGGAGGTCCTGTTGTCTGTCATATTACTTTGCAGGGTGGGCCACCAACATCATGCTGGAGCCTTTAGGGTGCTGATCATGTGAGGCCTGGAGCTGACCTTCATCTTGTGTCTTTTTTCCAACATGCCCTAGCTAATGCAAGGCTGTACAATTGTTGGAGAATGGCTTGCAGAACAAGGCCATGGGTCTCTGTAGAAGCTGATTGCAGCCATCTGAGGTAAACAAAGGAAAAAACCCAGGGTACAGTGATGCTAACAAAGGACTGTTATGTTAACAAAGAGAGAAACTGAGGTACATTATGACCTTGTGTATGATAAAGGAACGGCCCTGGGAGAAAAACAGGTTCAGAAGAGGGAAGATGTTGTGACATACCTGAAATGCCACAAGGGGCTGGGATATTATAATGTAGCCTTTTACATGTATCCAGTAGATTTGTGAGTAGTATGCATGATTATTGTAGAGTGCTTATATAAGGTGTGATTTCTTTCAGTAAAGTTGAAGCTTGCTCTATCATTCATATTGAATCGGCTGCTTGTTTCCTCCACCTGCCGCATACAATCTTTCTTCTCTTCTTTCTCTCTTTTCCTCCCTACACCACTTTTTCTCCTGATAGTCAGGGTGTTAGTGGATGCTGAACATGCATCTATGATCCTTTTGCTGCTTAAACACAGATACTCCTTTTAACACTCTCCATGAACTGGACAGCTGCCTGCTCGACCCACATTTTTCTGAGATGATATTAAATTTATATTTAGGTGGGTACCGGTTTTAATTGTCTTAAATAAAAATTAATTGTTTGCTATATTGTACAAGACAGATCACAAGACTTGTAGCACTTGCGAATGGAATACAGGATGAAATTGCAGAAGTAGGAACATGGGAGATAGTTATAACATTTATTAAGAGAGAGGATATTTATCCTGGTCATTTGGCTTATGTGTGTAGGGGCATACATCATGGTGGAAAGACCTAGGAGTGCTGAGACTTTCTGGGAATCATCAAAGAAAAGAGAAACTACTACATGGAGCCACCAGCCCCCCCTTCCCCAGCTATGTAAAAGCAACTTGGCCTTGGGGTAGATATAGCTGGTCAAGTATACAGTGACTTTTTTGTGTGGTTGCATTAGTGTTTGTTCACAAACTTGCTTAAAGAAGCCTCACTTCTCACTGTGCCACAAGCTGAAATAAAAATTTACTCAAGCTCTCTTTTCTGGGCTACAGGAGAACCTAAAAATAAGGACCTGTGGCACTGTGACATGGTATAAGAGAACTCTCTATCTAACTGGGAAGTCTGCAGTCTGGACCACGACTGAGCTAGTGCTGGTGAAAATGTAGGAAGGCCTCTATAAAATGACTTTTAATAGTACTTTGCACCAAGAAGACACAGGAATCATAAAGCTGAGCTTAATTTTTTTGTGTGAAGACAGTATCGGTCTGAAGCATGAGTTAAAACATGGGGTAAACTTGCAACAAAAACATTTTCTGTGCAATCCACATCAGAACCCTACAAAAGAAGTTGAGGTGCTCAGGTGAATCAGAGTGGAAGCTCTTTCAGCACATAGCTTACTGTAACCATGCAACAATATTTTAAAATTTTTTCTTTTCTTCCTTTAATTGTTGTCCAGACAGAAGTTGAGGGTTTTCAACATTGTCTGGGGATGCTGAAACTGTGACAATCTGAGAAGCAGTTTTGATCAGCCTCTCAAATCCCCATCATGTGCCCGGGCTGTGTACTGATCAGTTGTACCCTATTCAAGGGAGGAGAAATTGTTCCCCCAAGAAATGCTGGTCCCACATAAGGCATACAGGTCTGTATGCTCCACATTTACCTCGGTGAGAAATCTGGGGAAGAATTTGTTTTGTAGTTTTCAGACTGGGGGAGTCCCAAACAAGAAAAAAAAGCTGTTGTTCATTTCTATGAAGGATATAACCATGTACTTACATAGAGAGAAGTGTACAGCCCAGTCATAACTCATTTCTCTTTTTAAGAGTACCAGCCTGCTAAGGCTATTGAATATTGGTGCTGCACTTGAAGCACAGAAAGAATGGGATGTTTTATGGTCCTAAATTCAGTTCATGGTTAGATATCTCAGGTAATGGAAGCTTTTAGCACATCACTTGAGAGACCGTTGCAGGATTTCATAAGCAAGGAGTTTTTTTATTTAGTTGAACTGCTTGCTTTTTCTGAGGAAATAAAAGACCAAATAAAAAGCAAATCTGAAACCTCTCCCACTGAGTCTATTTCAGTTGTTACTGTTTTCTTCACATTTTCCTCTTTGGAATGCATTAGTTTCCAGTTGAAGGAACCTGAAGAAAAGATAATTATTACCAAGAAATTTGTAAATTAGCACAGCATTCTAGTAAAATGAGTGAGGCTGGGCTAAAATCTCTATATATGTATTTGGATAGTTCTATATTTGGATTTAGCAATCCTATTACCAAGCTGAAGTTTAGGACTCTTTAGATACATTTGTCCTGGAAATAGCGCTAGTAAATTATAACGTCTGATAGGTGGGAGGATGAACATCTAAGATCAAACAAGGAGAAAAGCAACAGACATTCTTCCTTTTCTGTTAAGTGTGTTTGCATATTTTCAGCACATTCAACAAATTAATAGCTTCTGTGAATAGCAGTTAAAGAGAAGCAAAATGCACCAAGTATGGGATACTGCAGTGCTATTACACAAATCGGTGCTATGCCTTCAGCAGTTTTCAGTTCAGTTTAGATCACCTCCAAAGGAGGAGGAAAGAGCGGTTGAGTCAGACAACCAGAATGAGTCTATGCAGGGAAAAATCCCATATAAAGAAAGATTGAAACATTTGTGAAGAGATGAAGAAGAGAAGGGATGGGAAATGTACACCATGTAAGGTACACTACAGGAGAACACGTGACCACTAATTGCTGACTTTTATGAAACAAGGAGAAAGTAGAGTTTAGTGGAGAGAAAGAAGACTGGTAAAAGTAAGCTCTTTTCCATATGACAAAAAAAAGGCAGTGGAAATCCCTGCTTTCACGTTTCTTGGAGTCCAGGAGCACAGCTTTAAAGAAGGGTGGAAATTTCTGTGTTAATTCTAGTGTAATTACTCTAGTTGCAAATGCATTTTTATTTAAACACTGCCATTCTGAAAACCAGATCACTGCCATGACAGAACAGAAGTGAAATTTGGATTCTGAGAACTTGTCAAGAAACGCTCCTGGGAGACAAGTGACGACATAAATGTCAACTACAGCATTTTTAAAATGTTCCTGCTCCAGTCATTGCCAGCAATAATGTCTCAGTGATATCTTTTGGATTGAACATGGGTCTACACAACATTATGTTCTGAAGACATCCAGCACTGAATTTTTCACCATATTCTTCTCTTTACCACAGCTAAATTCACAGTTTACGTACGTATTATCCTGTGCTGCTAAGCTAGTGCTACCTGCCAAGATTTACAGCGTATTTCCTTAAACTTACATAGCTACAAAAATCACCAGATGGCAGCAGAGTAATTTCTCATCTCCTCTTGCCCTGAACTCCTGGTCACAGCGGCGTGCTCTGGGGTGCTCCTTGTAGCCACCGTTCCCAGCTTTGCCGGGTATGCAAAGGCAGCTATACCTACCGAGAAAGTACTTGCCTCTTCCTCAGCAAGAGATTTATGTTCTCCATGCGGTGCGGCTACAAAGACTGGGTTTTAAGGGATGATTCTCTCTTTTTTTCTCCAGATTCCGTGTTTTCCCACAGAATTGTTTCAATTTGTAGCTTGAAGACAGTGGTATATACACATACTAATGGCTGCGTTCTTATGGTATGTTATATGCTGCCAAGGTAATGTAACTAACTTAGCTTTGACTAAAAGCAGAGACTGTCTCTGGAATCAACAGAGGCTGACTCCATGGCTCAGCGATGAAACTGGCTAATACAAATCTTGTTAACGGTGCTATTTGCTCTTGTTCTACCATTGCAGTCTGTTTTGCTCAATAAAATGCTGAAAGCAAAATGCTAAGAGGAGAGAAATACCTTGAAGAATAATTTTGGTCTGGAACAATGTTCAAGTTTCCCAATCTGGGAATTTCCCATAAAAATGAATAATTCCTAGGCAGTTTTCCAGCTACAACCATTAGACACTGAGGCTCCACAGCAGCTTGACGGATGGGTGCACAGACAGGAAAGCAGCCTGGCTGGTGGTGTCAGTGTTGTTTTGCCTTCTCTCCCAAGAAACCTCACTGAACTTGTGCTCAGGAACCATTCAGATGTCAGTGCCAAAACCAGGAGAAAGTTTTGTGTGGTAGTCAGGATATGGCCTCTGTGGGTCCTTTCCTGCCTGCTTCAATGACAAGCTGAGCTCTAGGGCAGGAGGAAGAGGGAAAGGTTATTGTTATTCTTCTGACTTGCTTCTTTTAACAGAAAAAACCAAAAAAATTCCCACAATTTTATTCCTCCTAGAAGAGCTCCTTTCAGTGGAGTTTTAGGTCTGAAAATGGATCAAGGCAACTGTGTTCAAACCTACAACAGGACATGTCTCTTGTCAAAGATTTTAAAACCACATTTACCAAACTCTTGCAAGATCATAAATGCTGCTATCCTCAGCAAAAGGCAGACAGAGACTTCTAAACTCAGGGTTATCAATCATGTTCCTGGATAGAGAATTCCAAGGTCACCTGCTATGTAACCTGTGAAATGACTGATTTTTTTTTTTTTTTTTTTTTTTTTTTTTTTTTTTTGATAGTGGGGATTGGTGTATTTGGAAATTTTCACAAGACTAAGGGCTTAATTCTTATTTCCACAAGTGTCCCTATTACCATTTGATGGTGGAAGAAATCCCCCAAATCGGTGCTATTCTACCCATTTTTAAAGCCTTCTTTACATGACCAGAGTTGTGGAAAGGTCGTAAGTAGAAAAGGAGACCATTTTATGTATTTGCACACCCAGACATTTAGGGCTGCAGACTTTCACTTCCTCATTCTGCCTCCTACTTAACTTTCTCCATGCTGTGCTCTAGAAGGGATTGGAAGTTTGAAATGGACTTAAAGCGAAAATACATGCTCTCTTTTACTTTGAGCATATTTCAAGGGGAAAATGGATTATACTTTTACTGGACTGAATGCATTAGACTGCAGCAACTTTTATTATTTTGAAATGAAGTTTTGTTATTCAGACAAAAGGCTGTTACCCACTATGCCAACTCTAAGCATTTTCCTATAGCTCATTTTTAAAATAGCCTTTAGGATTTACTTGGCTAAATCAAACCTCAGGAAGGAGAAGCTTGTGGAGGGAAAATCACTGCATTAGAGGTGATAAAATGAGAAATGAGAGAGATGAACATCAGTGCAAACTCATCAGCATCAGAATAAACTCAGAAATATCATTCAACATTTCCATAATGCTGTCAGTTGCTACTACAGAGGCAGGGATCTATTACCTCTGTTTATACTGCTGCTAACTTATTTTTTAGCAATTTATTCTATAAAAGTAGACACTAACTTGTCTGGCTGGGAAAAAACCCACCCTTTTGCACTGAAAATAAAAATGATAATGCACATAATAGATTTCTGAAAATAATTTGAATGGCCAATTGAAACGCAAGGCGAGTTAGACATATTTTTAGTAAATATCAGCACAAATTACCTACTTTCATATGCGCATTTGTAGATGGATTGATAAAGGGCAGGCATGGGACATTTACTTAGTAAGATTGGATGGGCCCAGGTTAGCTCACCACTTTCAGGCTTCTTTATTTTGCTGGGTTACATGGGGAGGAGAAGGCAAGAGCAGAAGTGGGCATAATGCCCTTAGGGCTGAAATCAGGTGCCTTTTCATGATTAGCATTATGAGAAAAGGATCTGATACAGCTTTGCCCCGGCAAAAATGAGCAGCTCACGTCATTTCTGTCCAGATGGCAGAGAAGATAAGAAACACCAAGCTTTTCATAGCTTTCAGTCTAAGGAGATGTCCATAAGATATTTTGCAGGCAGATGTCATTATGTTCTGCTTTTTCTCCAAACCAGCTGACACAAGTTCAGAACTGGAGTCTTGTGCTAATGTCCATCCCTCAGCATGGTGTGTCTTAGCTCGGACTCAGCCCTGTGCTCACCACCACTGCTCCATGTTGGGTCTGGAGATGATTGCATCCTGTCAGATTGGCTCCAGAAGAACTTAGCATTGGTTTGCAAGATACCATGAAGATGTATGTAGAGAAGTTGGGATCTCAGCCCTTTGGGTGAGACTGCATCCCAGCTTGTTAAAGCCCATGGCCAAGCTCATTCAGACCTGTTCTGCTTTCAGGCAGTGGTCCTTGGTCTCTTTATTCCCTGAGCAGGAGTCTGGACCTTCTCTGTAGCACACAAGCCTCTTGGTGACAAGCTTGCTCTCTTTAAGTACCTTTCAGGGCCCCTTAGAAGTAGTTTGTGACCCTCTAGGTGTCCATAAACCACAGGCAGAAAAGCATGGCTCTGGAAAGTCTAAGGGTTATAACCATCAGCCTACAGGTAAACATGTACTTAAGTGCTTTGCTGATCAGAGACAGACTGCTCGGCCTTGGGAGCTGCTTTGTGACCAGAGTTATTCCCTTTATGACAAGAAGATGATCTTCAAATTGAGGTGGAACATTTTCCTGTTGTTATAAATTGAGACCACAATGGATCATAATCCAATTAAAATTTTATTAATTATAGCAAGTAGAATATGAGCAAAGACAGCGCTGGACGGCAGGGGAGTCTGCGCTCCGCCAACTGCCGTACTGAGCAGTTCAAACAGTCCCTTTTTATACATCTTTACTTCCGTGTTCATGAAGTAGTGGAGGTACTCTGCATGCTTCAGTTGTTGTTAGGGGGTCGTTTTCTGACCCCTCACTCATATGTCCTTATATGGGGTTGTTTGTCCTGTTTCTGTCGATTCCTGGAAATCTGGCAGTTATCTTGCACAAGCGGTATCTGGTTTAATTTGTGTAAGTGATTGCGGTTATCTTATCTTACACAAGCGGTGTCTGGTAGTTGTTTGCATAAGCGATTTCATTTTGTTGCCTAGCCTTTACATTAAGCTTAACATAAATCTTAATAAACAATACCCTAGTCCATAGTTTCTCACAATCCGCCCTTTTTCTTTTTATCCTATTGTTTATTAGACACTACTTTCATCTTCGTTTTTGTGAACAATTTCTTTTCCACAATCTTGACATTTATTATAGCATTCACAATAATAATTTTCGCGTGGCATAATACATTCACAATAATCTTCATCTTCATTAATAGATATAGTTTCATATTTTATTTTGGATTCTGTTGCATTCTGATGGAGATCTATATCCCCTTACAGACCCCCAGACCCCGGAGCCGTCAAATCCATGCTGTGGTGGAATGCAGCCTGGGGGTCCCCAAGTAACGTTTATATATTTATCTCCTACCGTTGACCAATCTGAGGCTATTGTCTCGCAACCCCAATAACCGCAATAAAAATGGCTTGGATAATTACAATAACTCTTTCCATCAGTTAATTGGTAGCTGGGCACACATAGAATGCTTTAGAGTTGGCTTCCGTCTCCTCCCACCCTCTCTGGTTATCGACAGGAATCATTGAGACTAATTGCACAGTAAAATTCCAATTTCCCGGAGAGGTCTGATTTTGTATTAATTTAGATTCCTGTAGGTTATATAGTTTTCAGAGCATCGGCTCATGGGGGTTTCCATTTGCTTGGGTCATTATTAATAACAAAACTAACGGTATACCAAGAAAAAGGGAGTATATCAATCGTGCCAATTTAAGTATATTTTTACCAATCCTGGGGAAGTTTGGCCATGGTTGCTTTTGCATCCCATTGTTCTGGTTCTTTTCTCCACAGTTTGTTCCTCCTCTGCCTTGCCCGTCGACTCGGTTGCTTCGAGCCACGGGGTGTACCATCTTCTTGGCAGCAAGGGAATTCTTCAGGAGA